GTGTGTTTACCAGTGAATATTTAGGCATTTTAACACTGTTTTTGTTTCCACCATTTAGTGGATCCTTTTTGTGCTCTGGCATACTGCAGAGAAATAGTCAGATTCCTGTGATATTCTAACCCTGCCTCACTTTCTGTGTTTTTAAGCGCTTTGGTGAGGGTAGTAGAGGGAAGTATCACTAGCTAGCCTGTATAGTAAGGAATATACGTGTTTCACATATATGCAATTATCAAGCCTGTAGTTTTTTCAAGGAAAAGGATTTGGTTATTGGAAAGTCATTGGGATGTGGAAAAGAGCAGTTTTAGTAGAATTTAAGTTACAGCTGGTGGCAGTGGCTCATGCTTATAATCCTAGCACTCTGGGAGCCTGAAGCTTGAAATCAGGAGTTTGGCATCAGCCTGAGCAAGAGTTAGACCCCGTCTATACAAAAACTAGAAAGCTTATCTGGGCATGGTTGACTATGCCTATAGTCCCAGCTACCTGGGATGCTGAGGCAGGAGGATCACTTGAGCCTAGGAGCTGGAGGTTACAGTGAGCTATGATGGCTCCAGGGCACTCTACTCAAGGCGAAAGAGTGAGACTCTGTTTCCCCCTCAAAGTTTATGAGGTGAATTGATAAGGAAATGTAGGCAGTAAGCATCTATTCAGCATCTTTTTGATCATCCACTGTGTGCACAGGCGAGCAGGCGTTTTTATATTACTCTGTAAAGCATTGCGTAGCATTTTTTCTCTTGGTGTTCAGCACATGTGAGTCATTTGTTCTTTCTCCTCAATGATGGTAGGTAGTGTGATTGTAGAGACTGGTATTTGTTTGGTTGGTTTTTATCCCTAACAGCACTAACCATGGTGGTGTTCCCACAGCTGGCATCAGCAAACATCTGTTAAGTGAGAAAAGATCTAAAGATTTCACAATGAAAAACCAGATGAGATAGTAACATAAGGATATATAGTATGGTGACTTATTACTGTGTTTTATTTTTAAATAAGAAACACCTGGGCTTGGTGCCTTTGGTTTAGCAGCTAGGATGCCAGCCATATACACTGGAGCTAGCGGATTTGAATCCAGCCCAGGCCTGCCAAACAATGATAACTGCAAGAAAAAATAGCCAGGATGTTGTGGCAGGTGCCTGTAGTCACAGCTAGTTGGGAGGCTGAGGCAAGAGAAACATTTAAGCCCAAGAGTTTGAGGTTGCTATGAGCTTGACACTATAGCACTCTACTGAGGGTAACATAGTGAGACTCTGTCTCAAAAAAAAAAAAAAAAGAAAGAAAGAAAAAGAAAAGAAAAGAAACACCTGGCTGGGCATGGTGGCTCATACCTGTAATCCTAGCATTCTGGGAGGCTTAGGCAGGTGGATTCCTTGAGCTCACAAGTTAGAGACTAGCCTGAGCAAGTGTGACAACCGCATCTCTACTAAAAATAGAAAAAACTGAGGCGAGAGGATCACTTGAGCCTGAGTTGAAGGTTGCTGTGAGGTATGATGCCACAGCACTCTACCCAGGGTGACAGCTTAGGACTCTGTCTCCAAAAAAAAAAAAAAGAGACACCTAATTTGAGAGCGGCATAGAAAGGAACCGTCAGTAAACTTAACATGCCTGCTCTCTGTGTGTCACTATGGTAGATATTAGATATGCAAAATATAGATATGCAAATACAGTCCCTGTAATCATACTGGAGAGAGGAATGAAAGGAAGTAATATTCTTACATAAATAGTCAAAAACACAGGTATAGAGAAATTTAGCTTTGGAACAG